GGACCTGTTTCAATATCTGAATCTCCTTTCCCTGATAGACAACAGGTTGATCTCTCGATATTCTATAAACAATGTCTCGTACCTTTCTTCTTGTAAACCTTATGTGTACTTCTTTTGGGAGTTTATGTCACCTGGCATAACTCGTGCTTACCCTTTACACATCATTCAATTCATTCAGTATTTCATTTTTATGTCTTCCCAATGTATCTGCTAAGATTTCAGCCATTACCATTTCCAGATCTTCTTCCTTAGTTTCCACCACTTTTTGAAATCTAAGATATGATGCTGCCCGGTCCATCTCAATATGGATCAAGGACTCTTCCCATTTCTTTGCTTATTATTTTAAATTGTTGATCAACCCTTTCTAATCCTTTTTCAGTTTGTTCCGTTCGTTTTTCAACTTCTTTTTTTGTATGTTCATTTTTTTCTAAAGCTTGTTGAATTGAACCAACTTTCTCATCAAGTTTAGATATGTCCAATTTCATTTCATTTTTTAGTTTTCCCATTTCTTCTTTGACTTCATTTATATCTGCTTTCATTTCTGTATGATTCTTCATCATTGTTTCCTGAAGCTTTAGCATTGTTTCCTGTAATGTAAATAATGTGGATTGTATGCTTATGTTAGAAGGGATGTTCTGTTTTTCCGCCATTAGCATCTTATCAATTGTTTTTTGTATCGTGGATGAAGCTACCGTCTTTGAAGTTGTTGCCATTGATGTAGGTTTTTTCGCAGTCTTCAAAGTTGTAGTGATACTTGTCATTTCTTTTAGTATTTCAGTCTGCTTTCCTAAAATACTATAGATGTTAGCCCAAGTTGGTATTAACTAATATGGATTGTTAAAATTATTATTAGTATTTATAAAGTTACCAATCTGATTCTCCCAATTCTCAAATGTTTATTTGAGTGATTACAGATTCTCCCATTCTTTCACAATCAGCAATCTTCTATTAATATCTTAAATACACAACTTATCTTAGCCCTATAAATATATATAACTATCTAAGTAAATCAGTATATAAGTATATGAAAATATACATAAATAATGTATCAACTATAAATATAATAGATATAATAAATAGATATATGACAATCCCCCCTTTTTAATTATATAAACAATTAATTTATCTGTTCAAATATATATATAATCAATAGGTATTAAATATAGCTCTACCAGATAGAAATACAATCTCCTAAATGTTAATAAATTTGCTATATTGGATACAATTAAATACTATTAAATGAATACAATCTAAATTAATATAGTTTATATACTTGTATAATCAAGTCTTGCTAAATTTATCTACTCTTAATTTCTCTAGGGTAACTTATAAAAACCACTCTCCTAGCAATTTGTATAAATATAAACACTTATTTCATTGAATTTCCTAGTTAAATCTTCTAATTTTTTGATCAAAAAAAGGAGAAAAAGAGAAAAAGCAAATACATATGCAGACAATAGAGAAAACAAAAAAGAAAATGTGTTAATAATCGAACAATTCACCAGATAAGAATCAAAATGCTGACTAATGGTTGTTCTTTTCAATGGACGTCTGCTGTCTCTTCTACTCTCGCTGCTTCTTTTATGTTCGTCATTTCCTTAGCAGAGTTCAGTGATTACTTAACACAATTATGTTCTTTTTAAGTTACAGAAATTTTCTCAAATCTTCACTTTCCCTTTTCTTTGCCTCTTTTTGGTTCATCACAATTTTTTAATACCTCTCTCGGACAGTCAGTTGCTCCGTTTCTCTCCGATCACTCTCACCTCCACTTGTTCACTGCCTCTGGAGCTCCAATTTGTCTTTTCTTGTCTCCTTCACCCTCTGCAAATTATGAACTTTCTTCCAAACTATTCCAATTCTCTGCGTTCTCTCTCTGCACTATCCAAATCGATCTCTGCCACAGCCTGTCTCCTATATTCCATCTTCCTTACAGCTGGGCTGTCAGGACCTCAGGACCGCCATTCACAGATGACAGTCTCTTACGTGCTGGACTCGAAGATTTCCTCTTCGTTGTGCAGGCGGTCACCCTCCGCCGCTTCGCTCCTAGAGTATCCCCACACCATCACGATTCTCTCCAGGATTCATGTTCCCCACAGGATCGCTCCAGTACCAAGGAAAGGGGATGAAGAAACGAGCCCGTTCTTCGTCTCCTCTCTTTGCCCCAATGTCACCATCGGAAGTTCGATTACATGGTTTTTTTTGTTCACATAATATACTCATCCAATTCTGAATTAGTCCATTTTGTGGAGGGTGAGCATAAAAGGCAAAACCTTGCTAAGTTATTAGGCATTTCATCTTTCAATAAATCTAAAGGCACCTTAGAACAAATCTGGGTCTCCCGGGTTTGATGGTACCATTTGTATATTCAAAATGGTGAAATTGTCCATACATAAACCTTAGAGTGAATTACCTGTGTAACAAGAGACTCTTGAAATAAATGTGTGTGCTTACTGCCACTAAGTTCTTTAGCTCTTTCTGTTATTCCTTTAATCATGTTGTCAGCAAAAGTGCCTGAATTCTGAGGATATTATAAGTGACCCTCAGGTGTCAGGGCTACATTCCCTTGCAGAAGCCATTCCCCTTTTCACAGATAGCAAAAGACTCCTTCAAGTCTCAAAAGACTCAACTACTATAGAGAGCTCCACTCTCTATACTCTAACAGTCATCACTGTAGAACCTGTAAGACACTGTGCCTCCTGCAATCCTTTTATTCTTCCTATCTGTTAATTTTCTGCACTGTCATCATTTTGTCACAAATCCAAATCCTGACAAATAGTGAATTAATGCCACAAACTTAGCTAACTAAGATTTAAAGAAACAAAAATAGCCATATTGTAAATTCAGCCATCAGTTTTGAACAGTGATCTACTGACCTATGCCTTAGAATTCTGTGTGAAAATACCCAGTAAATTGTACTGGCTCAGAACCTAGAAATTTAGAAACTAAAGGAAATTTCTAGATTAGTAAATAATTTATAGGTATAGATCCTTAAGCCAGAAATGCTCATTCAGGCCTAGTTTTAAAAGTCTTGAAACATTTCACAGACACGTACAAGATATTTAGAATAGTATTCTGGCATAAATATCAACTGTTTGACTTGTTTAATGAACACAATGTCAACAGAATTAGTACTTAGTCAACACACTGAAATTATTTTCTCAGTTACCAATTTGGAATCTGTTTTGACAATGTTCCACTCTTCACTGACTCTGAACCTTTTCCTTCTAATTTTAATACATATTAAGATTTCCTTTGCTTAATTCCTATTTTCCCTCCTAGACTTTTCTTTTGGGAACAGATTGTATGAGATTTATTAACATTTTCCATCTGTCAAAACCTTTGCTGAAATCCAGGTCTACATTATTCTGAAAACCTACTCTGCTAGCAACTCTATCAAAGGAGATAAAGTAGTATCTTACAGTCTCAGACAATATAAAAATGCAACATAACCCAAGTGACAAAATGCCTTGTGATTATGTCACATTATTCTAGTTCAGTTTTCTAACAACAAACTCATGCTGGCTTCTGTTAACAGTAGCATTCTTATGCAAATATTAACAAATATGCTACTTGAATGTGTTTGAAGACTTGTCCAATACAGAGGTAGAGCTGATTGAACTGAAGTTTCTGAAGTTCCACCTTTTCTCCCTTTCGAAGATGGTAATGACATTTGTCTTCCTCCAATATGTAAGAATTGGAATCTAAAATCTAACAAATACTGAATTCTCAGAAATTACTTATAGTTGTACTGCAATAACCTCACTTAGTTCTTTCTGATATATTATCTATCTAGACCAAGAGACAATTCTCTTATCCTATTATCTCCTAAGTTGCAGGTCCCTCTTCCTCCAGTGGCTTAACCAAAGTCCATTCTAAGGACAAAACAATATTAAGAGTAAGCTGTCATGAAGATTAAACTAAACTAAAAATTCCAAATAAAAATATTTAACACATATTATTTTGCTCTCGAAGCAATATATCAAATAGTTGTAGAATGACAATGTATGGAAACAATTGGTAATTATGTTTGTATTATTTCAACTGCTTCCAATTCTAGTCTATCAAATTTAGTATTTCATAAATTTAGGATTTATATATTTCAGAAACTTTATTCAATTTTAATATCATAGACCAATATTTTAAATATTTGGAAATAAAATTGTTTCTAAATTAAAATCACAAATATTAAAATGTTTAAGCAACGATGCAATATATTAATCTTATTATGTAAAAGAAATACACCATGGATTTCAATAGCAGACAATTTGAAAATCCCATACTATGAACTCAAAAATATGTTTTTCCAAGATAATATATTTCAGAAATCATATCCAAAAGCCTCATTATGAGTATTTCAGTAAACTGGGTTTATAAATATCAACAGAAACACTGTTTAGAACGTAAAGAAAACATAAAACAACGGCTTGAAACTCAATTTCAGATCTAATGGATTTCTAGTGATCATCTGAATGTTACAAAGGAATGGATGAAAACAGAGTATAGTAGAGAGCAGAAGAGATAGGCACTGCAGGTAGCTAATATTCCTTTAGCTCACTGCTAAATCTTCTGACAATTTCAACATTTTGGAATGATAACTGAATATTATTTTGGAATATCTTTCCTAAGGAAATATCTTGGTATATATTTCCCATGGCTTCTACTTTACAATTGTTCAATGCCAGGATCTAACATTTTTATTTTTCAAACTTCCTCAAGCTGCATATATTCCAGCCTGCCTTGACATTTTTACTTGCTGTTGCATTATGAATCTCTGACTATATTGTTTTAAATAATACAGTATGTTACTACTATATTATTACACCATCCTAAAATCTGGTCTGATGAAGACATTCTAAGTAAATTAGCCAATCAATGTATTAAGCAAAATGACAGTTCATGTAATACTTGTATTATGTTATAATATATATTACATAATATAGATATACTATAAATGAAGCTATTTTTTCCTCCATATATAAAGGATTTAAATTAGCGCTTACTTGCGACGGAACATTTCTGCAAATATGCAACCTACACTCCAAAGATCAACTGGTGTTGCATAACTGGATTGAAGCAGAACTTCAGGAGCTCTGTACCACAAAGTAACAACCTGCAAAATAAAAGGTAAACTATTAGGAATATAGTTTAATTTAAACATTCCGAAGAAGCAGGAAAATATCTCTTTGTTTTTCTAACATATATTCCTGTATTTCTAAACTGCAAGTTTTGAAGGAAAATATTTGTGGAAAGTATCCATATATTAATTATATTATTAATCAATAATTTGATTTTTGTTATATTTTGTTCTGTACTGCAAGTAAAAAGGAAACATTTTACTTCTTAGGATGAACAAATGTCCATCTATAAAGTTATAAGTGAAAAACTTTAGGAATGCTTCCAGGTAAAGGATTTAAAGGCTATTAAATAAAAGTTATTGGATAGAATTATTCTATCTCATTCATGTATTTTTTTTACATTAGAAAATAGAGGAAATAGTAAAATTTAATGTTAAAGGACTGCACAATAAACCTTTGATCTGGAAGCACCACAGGAAATACAGTCTGCAACAGTTTTTCTGAGATGCACGCATAGATAAAAGTTTGAAGAAGTTACAAATGAGAAGGGAAAAATATAACTGCAGTCTTAAAAACTTGTACTGTTGAATTTAGAATTCTTTCTTGAAGATATTACTTTTAATTAAAATAATAGTATCAATGTCCTAGAAAAAAATATTTCTCAATTTAGAAGTCATCTGAAATTAGATTAAAATATGCAAAACATATATGAAGTAGACTTTATGAAGTAATAATTATGGGAAATGCAAGGATATTATTTAGACAAATGGTTACGTTGCCTTAAAAATGTTTAGCATGTTAGCCTTATTGTACCTGTTTTAGAAACAATTAGTAATTTTAAGACAGGACACTTCTAAATGTATGTCATGTGAGGAATAGCAAACTGTTACTGAAACATGAACAGTATAATTTACTGCATCTAAACATGAATAAGTTTAGCTTTTGTCATGTGTTTCAAATGATGAAGAAAACTACATAGGAACATGTAGTTTATTTAAAATGAATAATAAGCAGGTTTTAAGCCTCTGCTGAAAAACAGTCTTAAGAAAACTCTTAAACAGGTGTGGAAGTGCTTTCTTTTTATAACCATTTGTTTGGCAATCATCAGAAGTTACAATGGCACTCAAAAGGGAAAAACAAAATGTAGAATGTTGAGCTGCTACTGTGCAAAAAGAGAAAAAGCTATGCTCTGAGAATGAGAAATAGGTTGATTCAGTTCCCCGAGACAGCTGAAGTCACATGATTTGAAGCAGTTTCTGAACAGGTCAAGCTCACAACATATTTGAGATTGTATCCATAGAACTACTGCACAGAAAGCCCCAAATGACACATTACAGTTTTCAGTCACTGTTTTCTTTGTTCCTTGTGTAAAGATTTATGACTTTTGCATCTACAGTTACAGTTGTTCAGAGTGAATGCAACAAATGAACAGGAGAGAAACTGATTTCTGAAGTGCCTAAATTTACGAAGGCCAAACACATTCAGAAACTGTTACAGAATATTTTACTAGGTGACATGCTGAAAATTTCTCTTCCTCTTGAAAGATGTTCAAATGGGCAATTACACTGTAATTTTTTCTAGTTTAATGAAAATGATTTTTTATTTTAGAAATTTAGGAAAAGATACTTTGCAGTTTCTGCTTCCTGAAGTAAAATTGGGAGGTGGGAGGATAAATTTGATAAGATAGATAGATAGATAGATAGATAGATAGATAGATAGATAGATAGATAGATAGATAGATAGATAGGACGAAAGAAGGTTGGACAGATTATCTGGAGCAGATGTGTCCAACCTGTGGTCTCCAGGCCCTGGACAGAGTTGTGCTGCCCAGCAAAATGTAATAAAAATATAAAAAATAAAGGAAGCTTGTTATTTATATATGTTAACTATTTTATGTATTATGTATTTTATACGTGGCCCAAGACAATTCACTCAATGCAGCCTAGGCAAGCCAAAATGTTGGGACACTCAAGTTAACTTCTAGGTCTATGTTTGCCATAATAAAATTCATACTAAACCATCCAATAGTCCATATCCATTCACATAAAATATTTCCTTTCATGGTTTGCTTCATAGAATAGCTAATACCATTCACAGTTTTTGTTTCTTTCAATCTCTTTAACATTACAGATGTTAATATGTATGGAACATTTCAGCAATTTAAAAAGTGATATAAACTGGAAATAAGTTTGTAGATTTGTATCCTATGATATCATCAGGTTTAGTTATATTTATATATTATGTGGTATTTTTCACCCAATGCTTTCCATAGATGTTGGATTTCAATAACCAGAATTCCCAGACAAGATCAGTGTTGAGAACAATTTCTACTGCAAATACTATCTTAGCAGGGAAGGAAATGAACAATTTCACAGCACAAAATGCGCATTTTAAATGCTGAGGAAATATTTTCCCCAAAATGTGTTATTCCTTAAAATAAAAAAAAGAACTGTATTCCCAACAAAATTGATTGAAGAAAGTGTTGATTGAAGCCTAGATATCAGCAAAAATTTTTTTTATAAAGAATGATTTAGATAAAACTGCATTAACTAATTAACCTTCTGTCTATGGCAGCTAGGGTTTGTACTCAAAGGGCACCAAACTGAGGAAAGCTGATCTTTTTTAATGAATGCAATTATCTCAGTATATATATACATTATGTTCGATGTTAAAAGATGAACCAAATTACCCGCTTGAATTCAAGGAACTTGATTGCAAAGAATAACCACAGATAAATGTTCTTGCTACTAAGAATGTTCTCTTGGGGGAAATCCCCCCTCACCTCAGTGATGCAATGAATCTGCGTGATTCATTAAGAACATTTCCCTCTGTCTCATCCCCAAACCAAGTAAAACTTTATGGATATTCCATTCAGTTACAGAGAAGCAGAAATGAAAATGATGCATAAGACAGGATATGGTGAATTCAACAGTTACCATAGAACTTCCTCTTCTGAATGATTTTGATTACATATTTTACTTATATGAAAGTACTTTCTGATAAAGGAAAGGCTCAATCTCTCCCCACCCCAACATTATATAGGGTCAAGCTGAGCAATGACAGATCTGATTTGGACAATAAATTAAATTAAGGACAAAATTTGGACCGAAAAGGCCAAGCTGCTGATGGTATTTTTTGTGAAAGTCTGCAAAGAGATAAACTCCTGCTGAATGAAGAATATGAGGGTTCTCTGAGCTTATAGATTGGTTTCCAAACATTCTTTACCAGGCTAGGTATCATCTTTAGTGGAGTTTAGGGAATGTCAATGTCAGTGTTCTTCTGTTTATAGGGGCTTGAGGTGTGGGTGTGTCAAGTGAGGATCTTATGATGGGTCAGCTGTGAATCATCTGTGAGTCTTATGTAATCTCCTTATCACAAGACCCATCAAAATATCATAAAAGGCTTGCTCAGGCTACACAAATACAAGAAAAAATTAAAATTACTGAACTGGATAATGTAATACAAATACTGTGTGAATACTGTACATCAGAGGTGTCAAACTCAAGGCCCAGAGGCCAGATCTGACCCGTGGGGTGCTTATCATCTGGCCCACAGGGCTGTCCTGGAAACAGTGAAGGACCGACCTGCGAGCGAAAACGGAGCTCGGGAGGACTGCATGCGGCCCCCCTGAGCTGTTTTCACTAGCAGAGGGTTGCAGGAGGCAGTCGTAGCCAGAAACGGAGTTCAGGAGTCTGTTTTCGCTGGCAGAGTGCTCGAGTGACTACAGATGCTCCCGACGCAAGTGATATCAGGACGGCTACATACCCCCAGCCCCGAGGTCAAACACAACCCTGATGTGTCCTTTAATGAAATCAAGTTTGACACCCCTGCTTTATATACTCATAGATATAAACACCTCCAAACACACAAATATACATATATATTGATAAATAAAGCAATAAAATTAACCAAAAGGAGTTTAAGAATTATATACTTCTCTTACTTGTCAAACCTTAGAAAAATGTAGTATAAAAGCTGACATAGCACGTTCCTCAAAAAGCAAAGGTTATTAGTGAGCCTGAGCCTTTTCTTGCTATCCCTGCTCAGGAAAATTCAATTGTTCCTAATTATTCTTTGCCTGGTTTTGCATGCCATCATGCAACACCTGGCAAACGTGTGTGTTTTTTCAGGTTAATGCCAAAATACAAATTGCTTATACAGAAACAGGTTCTTAGTTCTCACATTTCAAGAGGAAACTTCTTGCAGGGAATAACTGAGCAGTACTAAGCAAGATATAATTTTTATGTCGAATATAATTTTACTGATTCTAGGTTAATTAGAATAGACGAGCTAACCTCAGGGATGACAATTTATTATGAATATGTTCCACTGTTCTTTCTGTATTGTTTTTATAGTGTTTTGATATGGTGATTACAGGTATTCCTCAACTTATGACAAGAGCTCAATATTTATGTTGTTAAGTGAGACATATGTTAAGTGAGTTTTGCCTTATTTTATTACCTTTTTTGCCAAAGTTGTTAAGTGAATCACTACACTTGACAATTTAGTAATCTGGTTGTTAGGGGAATCTGCTTCCCCATTGATTTTGCTTGTGGAAAAGTTGCAAAAGATGATCACATAACTTTGGGACACAGAAACTGTCATAAATATGAACCAGTTACCAAGCATCTGAAATTTGATTACATGAGCATGAAGATGCTGCAAAGGTGTGACAAACGGTCGTAAGTCACATTTTTCAGTGCCGTTGTAATAACTTTGAACAGTTACTAAATGAACTGTTGTAAGTTGAGAACTACCGGTATTCAATAAAATGGTTACTCTTTTACCATCTTTTTTAATATTGCTAATATGCTAAAACAATTTACTTTACTGTAGTTAAAAGTTACTACATCTTAAACTTAATACCCGTATTTACTGCTTGAAAATGTGTTACTATAACACAGGTAGTCCTCGAGTTACAACAGTTCATTTTGTGATTTTTCAAAGTTACAATGGCACTGAAAAAAGTGACTTATGACCGTTTTTTACACTTATGACCTTTGCAGAATTCCCATGGTAATGTGATTTATATTCA